GTGTCTTCTTAAAAAGCAACTTTTTAAAATATTGTAATTGCGGATACTAGATAATTATTTATCTTATTTCTTTAGTAATTTTAAAATTGTATATTTCATCACCACTGGGGCGTAAGTGACTCTTTTTAACCCCAGCTGAAGTTTCAAATGGCATTAAAGCTCCAACGAGAAAAGATGTCGAACAACTGAAAAATAATATCTAGCTTCCAATCGATATTACAGTTTTCAACGTGTAGCACAACCAAAATGATCACGTGATAAAGTAATTTTGAGCAGCGTAATTTAAATACAACTATATCAAATCGCAAAAGTAGACACAATTTGAATACCCATACACCTAGAGATAGATGTCTTGGATTAAATACTCAGTAGAACCTTGATAAGAAGACTCTCATGGGTATTGTAAAATAAGACTTGTCATGAAGGTTGACATCTTATCGAGGTTGTAATAACATGTGATAATGGGTAAAATATTTTTAAGGGGATTTGAAAATGACACTTGTTATCAAGGGTGACTTGTTATCGGGGGTCTTCTTATCAAGGTTCCACTGTATGTTCTTCTTCACAGTATGTCTTACCAACATAAGTTAAAAGACACAATCTTAGCATTGCTACAATCGCAGGGAACACAAGGCTCATTATGCAGAATGTATGATTTATTGCTTGGCTGCATTGTACAGACCATATGTAGCCAGATGGTAGTTGTTTATATGACACAACTCATCTACATACTGGCCCTAGACTTGGGATGACCATGGTTGCGCCACATGTTAGTGGCAACAAACACTTTGTATACCCAAGTGTAAAGTAATGTGACGGTTAGTAATTGTAAGATTGAAGATTGGAAATATGCTATATATATCAAGTTTCCATTTTCATAAAATTGCAGCAAGTTATAAAATAAAGATAAACATATTTGAAATGAGCCACTGAAAGAATACAGTAATTGATTATATTGATTACGGTTGAATACCTATAGTATTTAACAAAGCCAAACTAAAAGTAACTAATAATAGTTTAAAATTGCGTATTTTATGTTATATCCATCAACTACTAAGGTTTAAACCCAAGAGAAAAATCGGACCACGACTGTAGGACACACTGTGAGTGGTTCAACTATGCTCAATTCAAGCAACAAATTGGTTCCAACCAGTCAGTAGAATGTATACTTCAGAATTAAAAAGTCAATGATAGTATTTTTCAAGTATGTTATACGTGTTTGTAACAAAAAATTGATTTTTTTCATAAAAATGAGCCTAAATGTCCAAGACCACTAGAATTGTTCGCCATGTCCAACAAATGAACAAAATTTGGCTCGATTAAAAATAAGCTTAAGTATCATAATTGCATATAACATCAGAACAATTCAATGATTTATTATATCGTAAAAACTCAACAAAACTATAATTAAGAACAGTGTTACAGTAGTTTGCAAATAAAAATTAAGCACGTATGTTAGTAGATTTAACGTTGGTAATTCTTGTCTTAGTTTTGTTCAAAACCCCCATCACTTATTCTGCCTTCGCTGAAACAGTGTTGGTGTCAATTTGAATTTAAATTTATAGTTAAACTCTCACTTTTTGATAAAAAAAAGAATCAAATAAATTAAAAATAACATTTTTACTTGTGAATCAAGACAATAAAAAAGGATGTCTTAACTTACTTTGTTAGAATTAACTTAGTATTTGGTCATAGACATTTTATTAATTATATCGTCCATGATATCACTGTTATGGCGAATTGAAGTGAAAACAATCAGTCACAATATTTTATTCAGTTGAACTCACTGCAAGCTGCGCAAAAGAACATAAATTGTGCTATTTGACTTCGTTAAATTCATCCGTAGTTATTTATTTACAAATCCTCACCAACGATGTAGGAGCTAAACCTGTGAAACTATTAAAAACTCCAAACACGACTCAATGACAACTTGTAATACTGTAACAACCATTTACCCACCAACCTACCACATGATTAGCAATAGTCTCCAGGCTGCAACGTACCATCATGACGTCATCAGCATGGAGTAATCATAGATTTAATTAACACGTCGCACCTGGTGTCCAGCCCAAGTCACCTCAAGTCGGTCACCGCTCACAGCTACAGATAGAGATAGCTGGAATCATACCATGATTAATGGTCCAATCTACTTGTAAACTGTTCAGAATTTATCGTGAGATTGTAATTAAGACAGTTTTACTGTTTGCAGCAGATTTGACTCTAATTTTATAACTTAAAAATTTTGTTTGTAGTCCAGTACACGTTTGACTTTTGGGTTTTCATTCCACTTGTTTTTGTTGGACTAATATAATTACGATATTTCTTGTAAAACTGTTTTTAGCTTGGCGCCTGTCTATTTTATGCATGACAGATGCCCCTCATGATTCCTAGCTACTTGAATCATTATTCATCAGCAATATGTCATTTTCTTCTTAAAAAAAAACCTTAAACTATTAGAGAGCTAGTATCTATATCCATACGTCTTTAACAATTTTATTTGAATGATTTGTATCCAACTAGCTGCACTCTTGAAAATGAACTAAATAAATACATTTTGGTAATTAGCTTATACAATGTTGAGTCGTATTTACAGTAAAATCACAATAATACTAAACCTCACAGATAACTGTGCAACAATGCATATCAGCTGATCGGCAATGAAGTAGAGAAAACAGTGATGCCAACATATAAGCTTGTTTAGTCGATAAACAGTGTCCCACAGTACTTGTCATTTTGGTTGCGTAAAAAATTCACTTCAGTGACGTTGACATTTATAACGTTGTGGGTTAAGTTATTATACATCGATGCGTTGTGGTTGGGGAGAGTTATAGGATCGATTGATTGATAATTTTTCATCAATATTAAAGATACAGCACAAAATGAAATACAACAATATGAAAAACGTGTTTAAGTTTAGCTCCCCCACAAAAACTGTGTGGGAATGGTCTTCATTGTCGGTTACTAAAGAAGTATTAAATAGGATCCACCACCATTTAGTTTTGACCGATTTCCCTTGAAAGAATTTGCGAATAATTAAGCAATACCAATAATGTAGACACTAAAAATGAAAAGTTTCCCTCCACAAATTAATATTCACAAAGTGGAAAAGTTCACAAACCATGTATCGAATTCTCCGAAATTGGCAGCTGTGAATCGCTATCTTTTAAACAGAGTCATCATCGTCCCACGGTCCCACCCTGATGGTCTACCGCTACATGGCATGTCCAGAAGCTTGCCTGTGGGCGATAAGCCTACTTATCCTGCGCGGGCTTGACTGACCATTTACATAAGGCATGATCACGCCGCTAGCACTCGGTGCTCACTTTATAGCATGTGGTTACTGAGATTCTCAGCTGATTACACACCTGAAGCACCTCATCGCTCAAACATCAGCTGATTTGATAGTTGATAACCAAAATGTTTTCCGACGACTAAAATTATACTTTTATAGGTATGTAGGCTTTCTAATTTGGGGACAACTTTCTGGAGTCTTAATTTGGTTCTGTCCATCCATTATGCTTAACTTAATAGCTTAAGGCTTTGACTTTTTTAAATAGTAGTACCTGAGGACCATGGATCAGTGTAGTTTATTTAAAACTATTTTTGGTTTTTTATTATCTACGTTTCAGTTAAATTTCATTTTATTGGAAATTGTTTACCCAGCAATTTACAACACATTAATTTATTCTTGTTTAAAATAGTATTAATAGCCTATACTTGTATAAACTTCGTTTTGACCGTTCGTTAAAATTAATAGAGCTGATTGAAAATTGTTGTTTAAGTTATAATTTACATAAAAAATATACAATAGTAAATATGTATTCCACTGTTAAAACAAAATTTTGCTATAAATTGCCTCAGTACTTAGGAGAAGTTTTGGTAGGAGAGAGCCAAGTAAAATAATTAGTATTTGATCGGAACTATTTTCACCAATATCGATTAATGTTTTCGTGTAATATTTTCTCAATAGTAACAACTAATGGGTTTTCTTTGTCCTGTAGTTTGTAATTTGCTAGTAGACTGTGGATGACTTGTTATAAACAAATGTTACAAGTCTTTTGTTTACCTTTTCCTTGTTATTTTGTTCGACCAATACCGGTTACTTGGCAACCCATAAGGCAAATGTTCAACATTTTTTGACTTTCAATTAAAGGTTTTTACGTAATAATATTTTTATTGACAGTTTTAACTGCAGTAAAAACGTTTTTAGGACAGAAACAAATTATTTACAACATTTGAAGGAAATCGTGGAAGACACGAGATCTTTGTTCAAGCATATATACAAACAAACATTGCTCACATAAGAATATAGGATAGGATTATGAAAACTGAATAATACACTTATCAGATCAGCTGTTTGTTGGGCAAAAGGGCCATTTATCTATTCTTATTATTATGAAAAACCCCATGATTGAGGACAGCTAAATCCAACTGTGAAAACTTTTCTCAGGATCCTACTGACAAATTGTTAATATTATAGCTATGCAATTTCTTGAAAATAGCCACGTTTTACGACTCTCTACTGGCGTTACCCATTCATAATTTACCATGTGCAAATATTCAAATGCATCAGTTAACATCGCCCTGAGTTAACATTCCAGTGGTGGTGAGACCTTGACTGCCTCAACTACCAACACGTTCTAGGATATTCACCCAATGTGGTTGATGTTGGGTCTTATAGAAGGAATTATGGTTTGGTTTTAATGTAAACCACCTAGGTCAAGTGTCTTGTGGCCAGGTGACTAATAAAGGTTTCTAAGGTGGGCGAAAGGTAATTTGCTAGTCGAGAAGCCCTAGAAGAAGCCTCTGATAAAAATACTCAAGAATAATGGTGTAAAATCCGTTATAGATGAACTGAACATTGGATTATTGAATAAGTATATTGCATATTTAGGTACTGCTTATCTTTAGTATATTGGTATTTCTATAGTAGTCTAAAGGAACGTCTAATCCTGAAATTCGTAGATTAAGGTTTAATCTAACTCTTTGATTTTTTCCAGGTTGTGTGCAGTAATCAGTGAATAATATATGACAATTGGTAAGTACAGTTTAAGTTTAATTACAATGTAGATTTGCATTATGGTATATCCTAAAAACTATCTTGGGGGTTCATGCTTTGTAGAACTTATATTATTAGACCAATCTACGAGCAAAAGTTAATACATAAAAGTAAACGTAATGAGATAACAAAATAATCATTTTCGGATGCTGCAGTTTTAAGCTGTTTAATTGTTCTTGGTATATTTTGACAATACACAAATTTAAAATCTATTTTCTACGTCTACTAAAACGACTAGTGGAAAATACCAAAGTCAAATCTAAAGGTTGGCTACTGCCTTTTCAGGCATCATAGTCAATCATCGGCGTTTACAACGCTGCAATTTAGCTGTCATCCAACCAGCGAACACACTGAGGTGGGCAAAAAATGTGTAGGACTGAATAACAACGTTGTGTATACATAGATGGACAGTTAAAATTTTTAAGGTTTGAATAATCAACATGAAAAACTGTTATGAATATAGATTACAATATAGGAATGAAGATTCAATCCAAGCAAAACCAGAACGGTTTTATTTCGTATTACTAAACAAATACTATTCGGGTATTTAATATTCACAGTTTAGCTGGTATATCGAATAGCCTTCTAACCAATTTGTCTTAGAGGAAAACTATTGGTTTTTTTGTTGGTGTTTACGCTAGTAGCATTTTGAATTAAATATAACGCTTTTAAAGGTAAGCAATCCAAATATCTAAAACACTTTGTGGATAACCTGGGATCGAACCCATCGAACCAGTCCCTCTAGTGTCGAGGTAGGCGACTGTAACGACTTGGTAGCACACCCAGCGAACTACTACTTTATTACCAATTATATTAAATCTCTTAAAATTATTTAATACACAAGAAAAGCCTTTTGGTCATTTTTTTGATTTTAAGGCCTAAAATAATGCCCTATTTCATTCAGTAAAGGTATGACTTTAAACGTAATCTAAATAATGATTGTTATTTTTAAGTTTATCCTGAATGAAATTGCACTAATCTTGATTGGAAAGGCTACACTTATAAATAAATCTCATCTATTCATGATTTCGAGCATAGTTTTCCCCTTGTTTAATCAATCCCCGCCCCCTTAAAACTACCTACACAGCTGATCGCAATGACAGTCATATCCACATTGGACCAATGATGTCACACTAATTATATCCCGCAGATCATTTTATTGTTATTGTCTGTCACAGATGCTACGTAGAACAGCTGTTACTGATAGTCCCATATTCTCTTACCATTGACTATTTAGTGGTCAGTAAAAGTTTATTGCTTGGTTTATGGAACGGGCATTGAGTATTTTCGTCTTTCTTTATACCTCTTTGTTGTTTTGTTGTTGTTTTAAAGTAAAATAACAGTATTTAAATTCTTAGGTATTGGTTACCAGTGTATTGATTGAGGTGTTAAAAATGATGTGTAAAATTTTTATTTAGTCGCTAGTCCTTCATGGAATTTCACTAACAAACTGCCACTTTTAAGCACCAAATTGGGCGTAGTTAATTTTTTATAAGATATTTCTGTTTTATTCTAACATACCTTTTAATTTAACTAATGATCGGTTGGAAAGGTTTGAAGGTATACATTTTTGTATTGCATATTAAGGTAAATGAAGAATTTTGAAAAAAAAAATCTTAATTTTCTATTTACACCTTTAAGCCCATTTCCCAGAGTTTGGAATTTTACTTACTGTACAACCTGCTACTCATATGCAAATATTATAATGAAAAATGTTCATTATATCCAAATATTATCCTCTAATTTTTTGTCTGCTTGTAAAAATTTGCTTTTTCATCTACAGTACATATTGACCAAAGGAGAGGATGTGACCTTATGGATAGACATGTCCGTACAAAGATCGTGTCCTGATGAAAATAGTGTTTATTTGATCGTCGTGATTTCGAGTCGTGTAGACTGTCAACAACTGTTGGGTCGACTTGAGTGTACACATATGTGTAAATATGACTGTGGTATGTTTATTCGTTGAATGTGTGTGTTTATTTGACAAAAATACTAGAAAATGGGTCAAAACAATGATTACAACTACAGAAGACTACTTTTGTGCTATTATTAAATTTATCTATATAGAGTTTAAGTACTATAAAGGATTATCTTCTATGTTTCTATTTCTTAGCTCTGGAAAGAAATTTATGTATTAGTGTTCTTCGTTTATGGTTTTTCTTTTTTTATTTATTAGCATTGTACGTTTTTAATCATTGAGGAATCTATTCACCTATAGTGCTTGCAGCTATAATTGCTTTGACCTTTTTCTGTTGATTCACTATTACTATAATTTGTATGTAACAATACACAATAAGCTTTAAGATACGTCTTGGTTCCTAATCTTACCCAGCCCTAGCACTCCACATATTAATAACATTTTGGTAATAATCAAATAATAACGTAATATAATAATGAAGAAAAAAATAATGTAAAATATAAATACACTGCTACGTAATAACTCAAATATATAATCTAATTTCAAATTGAATTAATTAACAAAACAGTTAGTTATTCGTGATGAGCAATTTTACTTTATCTGCAATTCAAGTAATTGTTAACCCTCCCAGCTGTTTTGCCGGTCTGTTTGAACTCCATTAAACCTCATTTACTTATTTACATAGAGTATAATGACGTTACAGCGTGATCGTAATCTTAAAGAATATTACGCTGAGCTCCGATTTATGGACCATTTTCCTTATTTAATCCCTAATAATGTTATTATTGTAATTTTCTCGGAGCTGTAAGTGGTTGTTATAGCAACCGTCCAACAGAATGATCTAACCAATGTTCTCCATAGTCTGTAACATTATCCGCTGTCCTACTCAACTGATTTTCACGATTGAGGTTTAATTTAAAAGCTTATGTTCCAGCGCACCTGCGAATGTCAACGAAAAAATTAATTTTCATCTCTCCTTACCAAAAGTAACTATTTTCGATAACAGCTGATATGAAAGAAAGTAGTTGTTTCCCAAGCTCTAATTTAGAGCGAGGGAAAAAACGATCAGCTCATTTCCCCTAGAAAATATCGTGAAATAAATAATTACTCAAATCTCATACTGAAGACATATTTTAGTTATAGTCCGAGAAACCAATAATCAAAAACATGTTTTTTTTATGTTAAATCAACGTTAAATGTTAGGTTTAAAACTGTAGATTAATTTAAAAAAACATGCACATATCGTTAACATTCGTTTTCAATTAAATGCTTGTTAAAAGCTCTAAAAATATTATAAATAATATTTCATAAATAACACGTCATGCCCATTTTTTGTAGTTATAAAATGAAGATATTAAATCAGTTAAACATTTTGGTAAGTTTGAACTGCATTTCATGATTAAGCTTTTTTGCGAAATCCAAGAAACTTTTTTTCGTGCTATTGACAACAGCAAATCTGCACGTAATGCTTTTTTTAGTGGAACATGTTATAAATGTTTAAGCGACTCAAAACTAAATATGGTTATATTGCGTATGATGTCAGATCTCTCTCGTTGTTGCTAAATTATATTCGATTTATACGTATGCTAGGTGGGTTTTTTTAGGCGAATATGAATGAACAATGAGAGTTAAGAGACGATTTGTTCCTGACCAATATCTGCTTGGACTATGCTAGGTCAATTTATTAAAAGCCCACTGATAAAAAACAGCTGGTTCAATCAATTATCAAAGATGCGGACGCTATGTGCGTATTTTAACCCAAATATGAGTGAAGGATGAGTGTAGGATGAGTGGCGCGATCTTGTAGTCTGTTAATTAATAGCCCATACCAATAATGGCAACTAAGGGACCTACAGTTTATAATGGAATCCGAACCAAATTTTTCCCTTGTAATTAACGAATTGGTCAATTTATCAGGATAGTACTGATTTTTTACCATTTGAAGAAACTACTTATTTAATCAAAATGAACAAATTAGGAACCGTATTTTTTCTAAGAATTTCAACAACTCATTCGAAAAAAGGTCCAATGTCGAACCACTAAAAATCTTCGAGGTTTGCTCAACATCGAATTTGATCATCATCGAATTCTCTCAGCCAACCTAATAAACAAATCTTCCAACTAACACATTGTTAATATTTTCCTTTCCATTTTTTAAAAATTTTCCAATCACAAAGCACATAAATGACCCTGTTGTGAGTTGCGCAGAAGTGTACGTGCCGGATGCAGCATGTGTAGACAGATCCTCAACCCTGGGCCATTATCAATCGTAACATATCGTGGCTCCCCTCACTTACCCCTTGGAGGGGGGGGGGGAGGGGGAGGGGGAGGGTTGTACCCCCCACATTAAAGCGGCTTTATCCCCTACGCCATTGTTTCGAGTTCACAATGTTCGGAAAGAAGTAAAGGAAAGATGCGCTTTTGCTGCTTTGTATTGATGTTTTTGTTTGCATTATACTGCTTTGCAAAATGTTGATCTCTGAGCTTCAATATTACCTGCCTGAAAATGAATTCATGCTTGTTTGAAAATATATTACCTATGGCTTATGTAGGTGAATTAATTGTTCAATTTCTAACTACACAAAAAACTTTTACCATGATACAATCCAGAAATCTGTATTTAGATGGATGTTCTTTCGTTTAATGTATTGGGGAAGCAGTAAAAGATGCAATTTGGCGTGGTTTTTATTTCTGAATAGTTGGATACATTTAGCATTAAAAATACTAACTACAGTATAATACTCAAATATTCACACACACTATGTAGGGACAGTGGCTTCGTCCTGTAATCTAGCTACTAGGATGTCACGAATTGTGGATATTTATAGGCATGCACTGTGGATGGGATACTCCCCGGTATGGATTAACGTCCGCACTAGTGTGTACTACGACTATCCAAAGTGTTATCCTGATAATTAGACCAATTCGATAATTACGAGGCAAAAATGTAGTTCGGATTTCACCATAAACTTACCTTAGTTGCCATTAGCCGTATGGGCTATTAATTACAAAGGAATATGTCGGCCTTAGTCTCTAACAAGACTACAAGATCGCGCCA